TTCCACATTTAGCAAGAGGTACTCCCGCTACGTGGTGTAATTCCATAGCAAGTTGCTGCTGTACATTACATCCCTTACGAATAGCATCCCAGTTCTTTGGTTTTTCAATTTTAGCTTTTGCTGTAATAATAGCTCTAGCGCAACATATTTCATCTTTATTTTGAATTCTAATAATACATTGTTTTTCTCTTAAGAAGCGTTCCAAGTCCACGCATCTTTTTTTGGGAATTTTTCCTCCTCTGGGCATTTGTACGTGCGTAACCTGCATTTCGAGTGACCCATCAATGCTGAATTCTTCGTACGACTGTAGTACTCGCTCTACTCTCGCAAGAAACAGTTCTGCCGTCAAGTGTCGTTTTTTCATCAATGGAAGTTGTATCGGATAATCTAATTCTGGACACTCTACCACCATACGAATCAGATCATCGGGATGAGCTCCATCCGTCAAGGTGTTGATGAGACTCTGAAAAACTTTATGCAGCGTACTTACGACGGTAGTTGAATCATGAATATCTAAATCGTCGTTGAATTTAACGGTGTACTGGATTGCTTTCGTCTTGAATTTTTTCATATCAACTTCCGTCATATCTGTGACCTGATAAAAATCACGCCCATTGTTAGATAACTTCTGTCGCTTGGTTGTAGGTTATCTACTTGATCTGTACCATACCCACTTTGCGCATTATTTTTACTACCATGCTTGTTGTTAAGGTGTCGAACAAAATTGTCATGCCTTGCAAATACTTTACCGCACTTATCACATTGGTGCTGGTTGACATCTGTGTGACGGGAAAGGTGTCTATTGTAGTTGAAGCGAGTTTGGAAAACTTTGTTACATACGTTGCAAGTAAGCGTTGGCTGTAAAACAAAATATGTGAGATAATTCTGATAGAAGTACAGTATTGGATATGTTATTTACTTAATTTGGAAGGTGTATAGACCTATGAACTTTCAATAAATCAATATTGTGCCTATCAATCATTTATTCCAATACAAAATTGGGTCTATCAAAAACCATTATCAAAGTTGTTTGGACACTAATCGAAGATCGTGAATAAAAAATAAATTGAATACTGCAAATCCATGCGTTACATTACTATGGTTATTGTATTTAAATGTCACGTTATCTAACTGTTTCTTAACCCTGTGAATTTAGGTTTATGCTGTAGCTTTGTTCCTTATTGTCGAAGATATTCTCTTTTTGTTTATATTTCTATAATGAATATTAAAGTATATAATGCCTAGTTTAATACACAGAAGTTTAGAATAAAGGATCACTTGAATAAAAAAAATATACGCTAGCAAATAGATTACACATTTATGTAAATGAACTTACCTTCATGTTGTCTTTTTCGTTTTCAAATTGATTGAAATCAATGAATTACAGGGTTGAATATAAATATAACAGTATCTAAAACATAATATAACAAGAAATTACAAAACCGATATCGATATTCAACAAATTTCTACCACAGCTGATTAGGTCACATTTTGTTAAATTGCATACCTGCACCGAGGTAGTAGTATATAAGATTTAGAAAGGCTTACCCATAATTTATTTTATTGTAAAATACTAACATATTTTTATCATTATAATATTGTCCATACGTAAAAAAAAAAAATATGCTCATGTAATTTTATACAAAACATTAAGTTCTTAATCTATTAAACAGATCACAAATAGAAAGCTGTTGAAACTTATAATTAAGACAATTAAAAATTCATAACAGTCAAGGAGAATACTTCTAACATGTTATAATATTATTTTGGTAGTTTGTTTTTACCATAGGCCTATAGTAATTACTAGACCTTCAATGTTGTTTGTATGATTAGAGGTTATTTTTTAACACTTGTTGAAATAGATTATCAATGTTTTAATTACATTTCCCATATAGTGATTTAATCCTACCTTTTATGTGTGGGACACGGTGATTGTTACTGAACAGTTGTAAGCTAGTGTAGGCCTATGGGCTGTTGAGAATTGTCGTCGATATTTATACACTGTCCTACTACAATAGATAAAACCATTGACCAATAAGGTTTGCTTATTCTTAAACAAAGTTAAAACAAAATGAGAAACAAGTGAGAAAAACTTATTACCATTTTTATTTTGATTGGCGCTGAGAGATCATGGGGTCACGTAACCCTCAATTTTGACAAGTCTGAACTGGTCCAACTGATATAGTATTGATTATCAGAAAGTACGGTAACGTCATCAGCTGCCCTACGTCACAATTCACAGCTGATCAATATCGCACCAATGTTGGTTACTGTATTCTTTAAAATTAATTCTTTTCATGATTTGCTTTTAAAGACTTATCAGTGGCAAATTACACAAACGCAGTGATCAAAAATAATCTAGGCTACGTTATCCGTACAAAATTGTTTATACTTATAATTAAACAATAAAAGAATAAAACAAATAATAAAACGTAGTATCAAATACAATTTCTTGCTGATATTCAAGATTAGGTTGGTTAATATCAATAACAACAGGCTTGTTAAACCATCAAGATACATATGTTTTTCATGCTTGGTTCAACCATATATGGGCCTAAAAGAGCTAACTAAACTGTAACAAACATAAAGAAATGCTAATAAGAACACCTTCATTTCCTGCGGTACCGTACCATCTAAAAGAATACGACGTATTGATATTGCAACGCATTGGACGACGCGTGTAAGGCATCGGTAATCAACATCTTTGTTTTATGTACGATTCTATCATATCAACCATTCTTTTGAAAAAAACAAACGGACTACTATAATATTTCAGCATTATGTTAAGAGGCACAGTTGTAACAGTAAACAGGTATCTAATACAATAGAACCGTTTCAATAGCCTTTCACGTTATAATACAATGTACGATGCGCTCTGTATATGCGAACAGCATAGGGTTAAGCTTGTTTTTAACTACAGGCTATAATCAAGCTGTCTCTGTCTCTTATACACATCTAGATGTGTATAAGAGACAGCTATATATATATATATAATAGAAGGGAAAGATGGGCTCTGAAAAATTCATTCTTACAAGTTCAGACACGTTCAACATGACGTCACTGTTTGAATTATCTATAAGACAATCATGACAAAGGATTAAACAGTAGCTGGTCATCGCTTTTCAAAAGCTACAAGGACTATTGCAGTTGATCGATTTTATTCGGAACATATTTGACCTACAATTACATCACAGTGTAGGGTGAAATCAAAGTGAGAGTTATGATATAGGTAAGGATATTTAAATGTAGGTGGTAGCTACGTTTGTATTGATTGAAGTAAAATAGAATAGGGTTAAACACCCTGTAAAATGGAATAGGTTTAGGGTTATACACCCTTGGTCTAAAAATAAAATAGGGCAAGGGTTAAGCACCCCTGCTATAAAAAATGAAAGAGGGTTAGAGTAAAGCACCCCTGCTCATTATTGGAATAGGGTTAGGGTTAACTAGCACCCCTGTTCCTAAATGGAATAGGTTAGGGTTAAGCACCCCTGCTGTAAAAATGGAATAAGTTTAGGGTTAAACACCCTGCTCTATTAAACACTCCCCTACTCATAAATGAAATATGGTTAGGGTTAAGCACCCCTGCTCCTAAATGATATAGGTTTAGGGATAAACACGCCTGCTATATTAAAAACACCCCAACTCATAAATGAAATAGGGTTAGGGTTAACCATCTTTCGTAAAAAATAATGTTATAAAAATGAAACAGGGTTAGGGTTAAGCACCCCTGCTCCTAAATGGTATAGGTTTAGGGTTAAGCACCCCTGCTCTATTAAAAATACCCCTACTCATAAATGGAATAGGGTTAGGGTTAACAAGCACCCCTGCTCCTAAATGGAATAGGTATAGGGTTAAGCACCCCCACTGTAAAAATGGAATAGGTTTAGGGTTAAACGTCCCTGCTCTATTAAATAACCCCTACTCAGAAATGGAATAGTCCTGCTCCTCATTTTATGCAAATTAAGGTCACGTGATGCCAAATGCAGGCTTCTGATTGGTCGAGAGCCTCCCAAATAAGAACAAATTTTCCTGGTCAGACCCTATGCTAATAAGGAATAAGAAAAGTCACGACGATATTTGCATGTAACTTGAATGAATAGGTAAGGAAACTGAATGGATATGATTGTAAGGATTGGAAACTTGAGGTGAGAGGTGTGATAATTTTTTTCTCTAAGAAAGAAAAGGAAAAGAACAGGAATCTTAAGAAATATAATGAAAAGTAATGGTTAAGGAAACATAAGAAAGAAAAGAAAAGGTCACATAAGAAAGAACAAGGAAAGAAAATGAAGGTAACATGAGAAAGAAAAGAGAAAGAAAAGATAAGGAAACATAAGAAAGACAAAGAAAAGGAAAAGAATAAGAAACTTAAGAAATATAAATGAAAAGGAATGGATAAGGAAACATAAGAAAAAAAATGAAAGAAAAGAAAAGGTCAAATGAGAAAGAAAAGAGAAAGAAAGATAAGGAAACATAAGAAAGACAAAGAAAAGGAAAAGAATAGGAAACTTAAGAAAGATAACGAAAAGGAATAGATAAGGTTACATAAGAAAGAAAAAATGAAAAGAAAAGAAAAAGTCACATGAGAAAGAACTAAAAAAGAAAGATAAGGTAACATGAGAAAGGAATAGACTAAAAAAAAATATATATATATATATATATATATAAGGAAACAAGGAACACATCAGAAAGGTAAGGTAAGTAATTTTTTGATGAACATAAGAATAATGCAATGAAATAAAATGCAAAATATTTCCAGGAAAAACAGACAAGTTAATATATGATAAAAAGGATGGTATTACTTTGAGAAAATGAAAAGGTTGGTTTAATTTTTGATTTCCTGTGCTGCTTAATTGTCAATAATAAAATAAAAAAAATAATTAACTTGTTTACACTTTGTTATTTGTTATTTGTTTGTTCTCTACCTGTTGTTTTGACACTGCGCCTTGAGCACCAATTTTTGGTGGTGATGTTTGCGCTTTAAAAATCGTTATTATTATTATTATTATTATTAGCTGCCGTACGTCCATACGAGAAAATCCCGATCCGGATACCAAGAATGTGATGATCGAATCACTGGCCAAATAAGAAACTGGAAATTGTAAACGCGTACGTGTGATCGGTTAATTGTAAAAACGCGCTCAACTTGCTAACCGGTATCGCTTCCGGGTGTTCTCACGCAGGTGCTAACGATTAGCGCTAACAGTTAGCTCCCGATCCGGATACTAGGGCTCTCGTGAGAACCAGACTGATAATAGCGTATCTTTTTTGAGGATAAGAGATTTTGATTCATTAACCATGACACATCTAATCGTGTAATCGCGGTAAAATGCGTGGTGGTTTTTTTTTCAAAGCGCTGTACATTAAAACCCATTATTATAATGATAAAAATAAGTACAATATTTTAAATCAATTAATACAAATGGCAAGTACAAATTACAACATTCAATAAAAATTCCAAAGATCAAAGTGCAGTATATTAAAACCTATTGTCACAACTTATTTGAATAATGCACTAAAGTTTACAAATTCACAATCAAACTGTGTCATGATTATCACAAAATTTCTGATTACAAAGAAGGACGTTTACAGATATTCCTACATTCCAAGAAGAACCATACAAGACTGAAACGAATTGCCCGAAATCAAGACTACATCACAACATCTTGATAGCTTCAAGCAAGCGCTACAAAAAAGATTAAGACAATCATTATTGTATTGGCTTCGTGACGACGAGGAACTCGAGCGAAGTGATGATGACAATCGCAACAAAAACTGAGGGCGGAATTTGAACCCGAGTTCGTTGCCATATGGAAACGTTTTTGCCACTTTTTATTATTTGCTAGTCCAGCTATCACGAAAGCAGCGAACTGAGGTCAAATCAACCCCGCTGTACAAGTTGTTTGGATCGACCAATTAAAAACATTGCGTTTGTTTCATTTTCATTATGGGGTTAAAATACTAACAAAATTCAATCTGCACAATCAATATTCTTTTGTTATAGTAGGCCTACAATGTAAAGTAAACAAATGTTGAGAGAGTCTCTCTTCCCCTAGTCCAGTGTTCGTATTGGCGGGATTGGCTTAGCCCTACGCTACACCTCTACGGACATTTTCAAACGGTCCAGACTATAAATTGCATTTTTTTGCAGAAATATAGCCTAATTGCTGCAGTAATTGTCTTAGGACATTTGTTTTTTTTAAGGTAATAAAAGCACACAAAAAATCCAACTTATATCTAATAGGCCAAATTACACGAAGAAAGAAAAGTCAAACACTGCCAACACAAGTTAAGCAAACAGAAGTGTGACGTCATACCAGTGGATCGGACTATCACGCTTGAGAGATTTTTTTGACCCCATGAGAGGCATTTGTGAATTGGATGGATTTTATATTTATTTATATTTTTTACAACATAATGCGATTGGTCCATTACAAGAAAATCATAGATTTTGTACCAAAAATGTACTTTTTTTGGAAAAAGTCCAGTTTTCTCCAATGGTTAAAACGACCTTTGAGAGCAAATGATACAACGTTTTAATATGAGTGTAAAATGGGAGCAACTCGGGATCAACCCGGACTTTTTCGTTCGATGTAAAAGGGAAATGCACCCGGGATTACTCCGGAAGTAACCCGGGTCGATTCTGCGGAGTACGCTAATCTGGAGTCTGTTGCTGGATTACCGTACGCCAGTGATTGCGCGTTATCGTTAACACTGGCGTTCGCTACGCCGCGCACAATGTTACACCTCTTGATTAACGTTACGCTAGGGTAAGCCATTTTGTTGAACATAGATTATGGCTACGTTCAGACCTGAACGATACGCCAGGAGTATCTAACGCCGGGGATACGTTAATCCATGGCATAACTAGTAAGATGTCCAGACTGTACGAATAACGAACGCTTGCGTGAATATTCGCGCGAAATATTCGTATTCGTAATAGCGCGTTTAATTTCCTGTTTACATCTATGGCTATGTTTAGACACAACGAGGTCGCAGTCCCCCTTTACCGCAGCGCAATGTAGTGGGTCTAGAATTTGCACATCGCGACAGGTCAAACAATTACTATGTTTGATGGGAATGGTACTTTTTGAGGGGAATAGTACTTTCTATTGCTCCGCTTCTCAACCAATCAGATGCCTAGAATCTATGTATGAGGTATATAAACGCGACTATTTATGCAGTTTTCAAAAGCGCGAGCGCAGTCGCGTTGTTATAGTGACGTCGATCCCTAACAACGCAAATAACTTTGCTTGCGCTTTCTTAAATAAACTGCATCAAAAGTCACATCAAGTAGATAGATGATTTGAAAAATAATCATTACGTTAAATTAAAATTTATTATTAAAAAGTTTTGCTAGAATCGTTACTTTTAACAACAATTTAAACAAATGCTAAAAGAAACTTATCTAAACTGATACGTCTTGTAGACCCCCAATATGGCGTCGGTGGCTTCACTAAAACCAGACAATGAGCAATCCAGCTATTATAGTAGAGATCATTGGTGAAATCCTGGCCGAGTTCAAAATCACTTATGCGTGACTGTTGTAACTCAATGGCGTACACTAATCTGGGGTCTGTTGCTGGATTACCGTAGCCAGTGATTTTGCGATAATACTGGAATTCGCTACGTCACGCACAAGTTCACATCACTTCATTAACGTTACGCTAGCGTAAGTCGTTTTGTCTGATCATAGCCTATGCTTATTTTGAATGGTCAAATTCTGGCCGAGTTCAAAATCATTGATGCATGACTGTCGTAACTCAGTGGCGTAGGCCTACGCTAAACTGGGGTTTGTTGCTAGATTACCATACGCCAGTGTATATATACTATTGTTATTAATAATAGTTAAAATAATAAAAATAAATAATAAAATAATAATAATAATATAATCATAATAATAAGCATCAATAATTTTATTTATAATGAATATAATAACGACCATAAGCGTTAAATCTAGTCATTCCCAACAGATAATTTTCTAATATTGTAAAAACAATCTTGTTTCAATACTTAAATTAAATGTTTACAATTTAACTACAATTGTATATGTAAACATATCAATATAATATAAACCATGTACATGGTTAAGTATTTTGTGTCTTTCTTAAAGGTATTAAAGATGTTATTCCATTATCCTAAAATCTGATAAAATTAATTTCCTTTCAAAAGTCACAAAAAAATGAAACAGTTTTTTTTATATAGTTCTATTCTTTTACTCAATTCAAAAAGAAAATTCTGTCATGCATTGTGTCATGCACAGCCCCCACGTCGGGGAGTGTTCAGCCCCCACCCCGTCGGGGAGAAAAAGCACAATTCGTTGGAGAGAAAACAAAATTATATGTATTTTTTACATATTAGTAAACTCTACAATCGATTAAATAAGCCTTTGAAACCCCTAAATTGTTAAAATTTTCGGGGGCGTCGCCCCCTGGACCACTTTCGAAACCTTTTAATCGAAGCTTGACCACGCCCACGTTGCTTTCGTCGGGGAAATCTGCCCCTTGTCGGGGGAATCGGCCCCCTTAACGGAGGACCTCGGCCCCCAGCGGGCAAATCCTGGCGCCACCCCTGAAAAGAACTGTCGTAGTTGAGAAAGTCTCGACGTTTCGATTGAGATGCTTCAATCGTCTTCAGGAGAATATGCAGAAATTGCAAACAGAGAAATAATTATATGTTTGGGTAGAGATGCTGATTGGTGATTGGATGGATAAACTGACCTATGAGAAGACTGCTAGTGAAAGGCTAAAACAAAAGCCATTGTTCACTGAGGCAAAGGGTGGGAATTCCCAAACAAAGGCATGGTTCCAGTGGCGGGAGAAGGGTGGGAATGACCCAAACAAAGGCACAGTTCCAGAGTGGCGGGAAATGAGATGAGAACGACCAAAAACAAAGGCATAGTTCCAATGGGCTGGGAAAGGGGATGGGAATTAAATTAGATAACAAAATAACTAATCCATAATCATTGGAACACCAAAGCCATGTCAAGTGTTTAGCTTTTACCACAATTTCAGTAAAATAATTTCTTGTTATTACCACTGCAACATCCAAAGCTTGACAGTAAAATTCATGCTCACGACTATCTGTACGTAGTTAATGTTTGTTTCTGTTTTCAGGGAAAGTATGAGGGCCGGCCGGAAAATAAGCGTTTTCTGTATGAGATCGTCGCCAACAAACGCAATGGTATTGACGTAGACAAATGGGACTATTTTGCGCGTGATTGTCGCATGCTTGGAATTTCAAACGGCTTTGATCATAATCGCTTCATGAAGTTTGTAAGAGTAATAGAGGTAGATGGAGAGTATCAGCTATGCATAAGGAATAAGGTAGGACATTCACAGATTAAAAAATAAAACGGTGGGTAGAATGACTATGGTCACATTTACGGAATTATACTTAACGTTGATGCCATATATTTTTTCGGTCCCTATAATAACATAATTATCTGACTAGTAGAATAATGTTTGATGTCTCATCACTATAGATTTTACTTTAACTGATTTTCGATTATTGCCTTGTGTTTTGTCCCTAAAAAGGTCTTAAATTATAATTTATTATATTTATTTTTGTACATTAAACATACATTTAAAAACCAGTGCAACTAAGGCCTTGTTTGGACAACATCAAAACGTCCATTTTGTTGACCTAGCAGTATTTTTTGGTTGTTTTTTTTTTTTTTTTTTTTTTTTTTTTTTTTTGCGGGAGGGGGGGGTTTTTTTTTTTTTTTTTTTGCGCGAGAGGCAAGGTATGACGAGAACCAAGTGAGAACAATATCAGAGAGACCAAATTGAAAAGACAGGCGGTTAAGAAGAATGGAGTGGTCGAATGTGTCGAAAGCAGCAGACAGGTCTAAAAGTACAAGTGCGACTATTAAACCATGAGGAAACTTCCTCATTTACCAAATATCTAAATTTTGAACCAGGTTTTGCCGATCTTTCTTATCTCTGATAATTACAGTTTTATTGACTTCAGCTCAGCATGTGTTCTCATCAGTTGATAATAGGATTAATTGCGGAACTACTTCCTGTGAATAGCCAAGGAAAGAACTAAACAAAATAAAACTGAAGACTACAGTATATAGTAACAACACAGATAATTTTATTTTTTTCATAAAAAATCATGTATACATAAACTGAAAATAGAGTATACAGTACTGATGATAAAAATGTGAAAGTTTGTCAAGCATTTAACTCCTTGATGGTGTTAAGTATTGATCTACCATAATCTTCATAATAATTTTATTTTTACAATTATCTACACAATACTGTGCACTGTTTACATTTACTGTTGTTCACAAGAAATTGTTTATCATCTCTTCCCCCTACCCCATCTTTACATCTACTGTACATATTTTAAAATGCGGTATTGATTGCTTTTTAGAAATACATTATTTAAGTACATCTTGCAGGTGTAAATAATACACCCATAAATGCTTAACAGGCTGTTTGTTATTGAGAGTGATAAGGCCTAAAAAATTGTTATGATCACCAATCACTGAATTTAAGAAAAAAAATTGGGTCAGTCTGAATTTGTTTGCAGACTCATTACAAAAACAGGCCTGTACTGCTACTGACCTACATTGCTGATGATTTTTTTTTTATAACATTTTGGCTATTCCAATACATTTTATTCTTTATTTTTAAATAAAAAACAAACAAAAAATGACCCTGTATATTTGCAATGTTGCAATTTTTTTTTCTTAGGCACAGTAAAATTTTGTCAACCCCTAATGGAAACATGATACGTTTCGTCTTAAATAAAAAAATTATAAAAAAACAAAAACACCATTATTTAAATATTCTGAGGTTCACATTAAATAGTAAAACATTTTTTAACAAGATACATCAATTTACTATGATCTTTATGGTAATTTTTTGTTTTGTTTTTATGGTTGGTCATAAGAAATTGTTTATCATCTCCCGTCTCCCACCTTTACTTACTGTACATATTTTAAAATGCAGTATCAATTGCTTTTTAGAAATACGTTAGTACATTTTGCAGGTGAAATCAATACAGCCCTAAATGTTGAACAGGTCATTTGTTATTTACCGTGATAAGGCCTAAACAATTGTTATGATCTTCAATCAGTGAATTCCAAAAAAAAATTTGTTCAGCCTGAATTTTTTTTGGTGGCTCAATTCCAAAACAGGCATGTGCCCCCATGTTCAGCTGCCGACATACATCGCTGATGATTGTGTGGTTTTTTTTTTAAACACCTTGTCTGTTCCAATATGATCTGGCTAGGGCATTTTTTTTACCAAAAACAAACCAAAAATGACCCTGTATATTTGAAATGTTGGGTCTGTTTAGGCAACAATAACATTCTTTTTCTTTGGCACAATATAATTTTGTCAACCCCATCTTTAGTCGCTCATAAAAAAAAAATAATAAGGTGCATTATTTAATCATCCAAGTAATTGATAAATTTTACTATTGAGAAAAACAGATTAATTCTCAGCTTTTTATTGTTTAAATATGTACATATTTAGGATGTCTTTTGCCAGTTTGCAACCACTTTAAAATGTGGGTTTTGTGGTAGAATATAAGATTTAAGTGTTGCAATTCTTTTTACCTGGTTAGCCTTTTCATTTTTTTATTTAACCACATTTGCACATATATATTTTTTTCACTATCATTTAATTTGGCATACTCTTTAATATATCTTGTAAATAAGCTGCGCGACTCTTTGAAAGTCACAGTATTACAGGTATGTTTAAGAAATTCTTTTCTTTTTAAATTACCATAAAACACAGCTGCATTTTTGAACATTTCACTACCAATTCTTTCTTACGAGACTTAGTTTTTCGCGGTCCCTTTAACAAAGGAATCATCCGAAAGTCTTTTTGAAATGGATTTAATTATTGGTAGGCATAACAGAAATTGTATATATCATTTCTCTAATTGATTAAGGTAGATGCACAGAATATGATTGTATACTGTTATAGTCGATGGATTTGTATACATAGCTGTAGTCTACAACATGACAATGTTTTTGCACACCATTCTTTACAACATTTGCAATTTTTTTGCCTACAGAGAGATTAGTTAAAATTATAATTTTTTTTGTGGAATTGCCTTTCGAAGTACCAGATAAGTTTTTTTCTTATTCTTCCTCCGTTACTTACAATTAATTCAAATATTTTCTGTTGGGTCATTTTCTTTCCTTTATACTTTGGTACATTTCCTGTAAAAATGAACGTTTTACCGATGAATAATTTTTCAGCACTCTCAATTTTACTACTACTACTACTACTACCACTACTGCTACTACTACTACTACTACTACTACTAATAATAATAATAATAATAATAATAATAATAATAATAATACTAATAATAAATAGTAATATATAATAAAATAATAATAAATAATATCAATTATAATTTTTTTTAAATTTGTATTATTTTTATTTTATTATTATTATTTTATATTATGTTTATATTATTATTATATTTTTATATCAAATTTTTTATATTATATTTTTATATTTATTATATTTTGTTATTATATTTATTATCTATTATATTTATTATAATTGTTATTATGTTAGTATGTTGTTAGTATATTATTTATTGACAGACAGCTGGTCTTGTTGTGGTAACTGAAATAATAGTTTCCTCTGAGTTCTTTCAGTCTAGATTTGGTGGCTATAGGTCTTCTCTGAGGTGACTGAATTAATATTTTCTTTTTGATTAGCTATGAAACCTGCTTAGTATTGCTCTCATTACCATTGTAGATGTGCTGGAGAAAGCTTATGCTTCTGGCAGGGTCACCCAAACCAGACAGGTATGGGGCATGGTTATTAGGGCAAGCATGAGCAAGTACAACCTGGCCACGATTTTAAACTGCATCCATATAATTATATGGATCAAATATACCTTGGTGTTGGGGTCCAGCATGCACCTGTCAGCCCGGCAGCAGGGGTTGGTAAAACTGTCATCTTGGCAGGAATCAATCAATGCCTTGGTTCACTGGCTTGTACAGTAAATTGACATGCGACGATATTCATTTTACAAAGGATAGCTTTTATTAGTTATAGTTGCTACTGCGGGGTAGTCTCCATCCCAACTGTCACGTTTTTGCGTTCCGTTGGAACCGGTTGTTGTGCGGTCCAGAGGTGTGTGTCTAATCTGGGCAAACATTCACTCATTATTTTCTTGCCCAGGCGCTTAGCGTTCAAAGGCAAATGATGACAAGCAGTAATATAGTTCAGCGACTTGTAACTTGGGGTCATCTCTACAGCAAATGACTGTCGTTACTCGTCAGGGTTCGCGTGCAAAGACTGCGCGGCCGGGTCGACATGCTGCTACTTCTCCTTTTGTTTTAGTTTTAGGATGCTGGAATGTTCGTTCTTTAAGCATCCTTCCAGATAGAAACTTGCGTCCGCCAAGAAAGTCAGTGGTTGTTGACTTAAAACTCTCTCATTAAATAAATGTTGCTGCTCTAATTACACTTTGGTCTGGTTATTCTGAAACCATGAAACCTAAGTTATAAGTGATAACTTCACTTATTGGCGATCCGTTTTATCGAGAGAAGCTTTCCTCTCTCGATAAGGCCACAATAGTTGCATTAGAACTACCCAAAACATTCTTTGCATGACCGTGATTTGTCAACTGTCAAAGGTTACTTTTTTCGGGTACGGAGCTTTTTCTGATAAATTATCTGATTCAAAAATTCTTATCTGATCCAAAAATTTATTGGAAAGTTTGGGCCCGAAAATAACAAAGTGGCTGCTTTCCGATAATTTATCATGTAATAGTGCTGCGGTAAACACGTCCATAGACATTCCAAATCCTTCCGAAATAACATACGAATTAACGAATTTATTTTATAATTTTAAAGTTGAACAACGTATGGTTGTTTCCCGAACATAATGGCTTCTCTATCTCTTATTCGAAGTATACCGAGCTGCAAACCGTAGCAGGTACGGTACATTATTATGCATTATTCACTTGTAATTATTATTGCTGTCCACTGAGAAGCTCGATCGATATATCCTAATCACCATGGATCTTCTCTCTGTAGGGAACTCTTCCAATAGACCTTTCCGCCAAGCCCCGCCCGTTGGATGTTTTTAGTAAGATCCCACAAACAACATTTTGTAGATGGATGACTGTGCGGTCGCAATCACAGACTCGTTATTAGGCATTCCGGACAATATTTGTTTGACGTTTCTGCCGAATGTAGGCCTATCACAAAGTGTCTTAAAAACGAGTCTAAATTACTATTTGCAAGTATACATTCATCTATATACATTTATCTAAATCTGTCAATGATATTTTGGTTAATTTTTATATCATCCAGGCCAATTGGGAATTACAATAA